TTTCACACGTAGTAAGCAATGATGTCACAAGTGACATCTTGTTTACTACTTTGCATGTGATCACTGATTCGCCAATCAGTGATCACATGATCGGGACCTCGTACAGAGGTCCCGTCCGACGATCGGTGTTTCTGTGTATGTATTTTATTGCATTTTTTGTACAAAAAATTTTTTTTTTTTTTACTCATTTTTTTTTCAGCGTTAGAGCATTTTCACAGCTAAAAACATCCTTTAGAAGCCCACTAGTTATTTTTCCAGCCAAAAATAAGCTGATTACAGTCTATGTATGCATGGACACATAGGATAACATGCTGGGGAGTTTATTGGCTGTAGAAAAAAAAACGCCAAAAGCCAAAAACAGCCGCTGTAAAAACGTCCAGTGTGCATGAGGATTAGGTGTCATTTCTGTTTGCTGCCTGGTTCCTCTGCTATAAGCATGAGTCACGTCTGACAAGTTTTCCTGACACCAATAGAAAAAAAATTATAATTTCATATGGTTCCAGTGTCGCATGACTGCGCAATTGTCATTCAAAGTGCATCAGCGCTGAAAGCTGAAAATTGGCCTGAGCAGGAAGGGGGTAAAAGTGTCCCATAGGCAAGTGGTTAAATACTGTTTTCTAACCTAACACATTGAGCACAAACAAATAAACATTCCTCAGTAAACTGTTTGGTATAATTCTTACTCCAAGCACTTGCAATTTACAACAATTTTAATCCTGCTGGTTCCTGCTGTCCCAGTGCTGCTTCCCTGAACCTCCACTCTTCAAGGTAAAAAATGAACAGTCCGGTTACCAGTCTGCAACCAGTCTGTTAGCTTGCAGAAGGGGGGAGGAGGGAAGTTTTTGCCATCCTAAGTAATGGGGCTGTGTGTTTCTATTAATGCACACAGTCTAGCCAGCCACAACTCCAAACACAAACCCTTGCATGCAAGGATGGCTCCACAGAACACTGCAAGAGAAAGTAGCTACCTTGAAACAGGAAATCTGGGGCAGCAGTCATGGCACCAACTTAAACTGGAACATAGGCAAGGATTACAAGATATGGAAGTTACATACTCAGTAAGTTAATAAAGTGGTATTAAACCCCATACCAAAAATGTAATATATTGCAGCTTACCAATCATTAGATGTGGTGGCCTCATTAGTTTCCTTTTTTTTAGTTTTATTTCTCCTTGCTTTCACTTAGTGATTTGGCCAGTAACTCCCCTCCTGCATTAAGGTTCCCCCACTCTGGATGAAGGAGCACAGGGGGCACCTTTGGACATCAGCATTGTCAGTCTGGAGGGAGGGTAGTATTAGATGCACTAGCAGATTTAGATACACTACCAATTTGAAGCCAAACCATTCTAAGCATCCCTTTTAGTGGTAAATGGTTTGCCTCAACGCTCTAACTTCTACATCTGTAGGAAGGCTTGTTCTGTTGAATAACAACAGACTTACAGGCAGGATCACTATTAGAAAATAAAGAAAGCCTAAAAAGAAAAACGAATGCAGCAATTACATCTAAGAATTGGTAAACTGCAATATAATAAATGTTTGCTTTTAGGTTTAATACCACTTTCAATTAGGGCTTTAAAAGCTGAGCATTTATTATCACTTTAAAGAAGTCCTATAGAACTCATTGGGGCCAAATAGTATAGCTTGCTACCGACAAGCTGTAATTCCTCCCATAGACAGTTTGATAAATGAGGCCCACTGTTCTCCAGAGTAGGTGTGTGGTCAGCTGTCTGTCTGCATTCCAAAATTACCAAGCTACTGTATTCCTTGGACAAAATAGCCTTTGACCTTCTTCACAGGTTTGACCCATTCCTCTTTTTACTTGTGTCCTGTGGACACCCCCTGCCTCCTATATGGCTCAGTAAACTGACTATTGGGAAGAATAACCCAAGCCAAAGGGATGGTCCGACTTACTAACCTACCAAGGTCACAGGGTATTCCTGGGGAGGCCAATCATCCAATGGATCAGTCTATATATAGAAGTCCTTTCAGGAACACTTGTGTAAACTCTACATCTCCAGACTCTTTTGTCAAGAAGACTTCCCGAACGTTATGCCCATTCTTTGTACCCTTCTGGAGAACATCATAAAATGCTTAAAACCTAAGTGCAGTCAAAATAAAAATAAAAAATCAGCACAAGAGACATACTTACAGTCATTAGGATGTGTCCCTTGTGCTGATGTCTGTTCTGTTAGCTGACATTCTCCTGCATGGATGCCCCCTACCCCCTCTGCAATCTTTTGGTGTGGTGGGCTTTAATAGAACTGGAGGGAGCATTGCCAGGCGTTCATCAAAAGCGGCTGACTATGCCCATCCTTTCCACCCAGCTTTGCTGTTTATGAAGCTGTAATGCAGCTTCTATGAATGACTTGTAATCTATGAATGGGAGAAGTGAACCTTTCATTCATACATCCGTCCTCCATTCATATTTCATTCATACACCTATAGTTGCAGCTTCTATGATTGGCAGAGCCAAGTTGGACATTCTTATTGAGTACCTATCACTGCTCCCTCAGTTCTATTATCGCTGCTGCACCAGATTATAGCGGCAGGGGTTGGTGTGGCATCAATGGAGTAGAAATTTAGCTAACAGAAGAGACATCAGCACAAGGGACACATCCTACTGACTGTCCCTTTTGCTGTTTTTTTGGTTGCATTTAGGCTTTAACATAAGATCCAATAAGAGTTTTAGTTTAAAAACATTTTTTTCTAAACCAGGCAGATCAGCACAGATCCAGCAAAGGTTTTTAGCATCAGTAATCTGTAACAAATGGCATAAACAATTTTATTTTACCAGGAAGTTAGAAGAAATTCCCCCAAAGACAAAAAATCCCCACATAGGCAGTTGTCACCAAAACAAGTTTCATGTTGGAAGAGTTCCCCTCTATGCTCCATCCATGTTCTGGTAACAAATTTTAGATTCTGGGAACCAAATTTGGTCAGTGGGACAATAGCCTGTCACCAGGGGTGGACTGACCATTCAATCACTTGGGCTCTGCCCGAGGGCCCGGGGTCATTAGGGGGCCCCATGAAATGCCCCTGGTACCTTTTTTATAGGCTTTTTTGGGTGTGCTTTGAGTGTGGGCAAGGACACAGGGGCCCCATGATCCCCTATTGCCCGGGGGCCCCATGACTTGTCATTCTGCCCCTGCCTGTCACCCTAGTGGGGACACAGACAGCAAAATACAAAACCTGACAATGGTTTTACCACTCACCACTCTATCCAAAAATTACGGGAAATAATTACCTTATATATATTTTAAACCATTTATAAATGCATTTTTTCAGCAAAATAATAAACATCTTAGACTTACCTGTCCCGATCCTCCTCTTCTGGGGTCCCCCGCTGGCGCTCTCAATTCCACCTCTTCTGTGTCTTCCCCATAGCAAGCCGCGAGTCGGGCTGTGTGTATCTATAGACACACACAGCACGGTTCAGCCCTGCTCCTTCTCACAAAATTTGACTGACAACAGCAATAGCCAACAGCAATAGCCAATGCTGCATGAATACCCTGTGAGAAAGATGGGAGAAGACCTGCAGCTGGGCACAGTGCTAGATAGATACAGCACAAAGGTAAGTGTTTGGGGGATGGGATACGACAAGTTGTAAAACGTTGACCTCAATGCAGGGAATGCATTAAAGTAAACATGTTTTAGCTCAATGGTTCTTAACCTGGGTTCGATCGAACCCCAGGGGTTCGGTGAGTCAGTCTCGCGGGTTCGGCGGAGGTGAAGACCCACACCCGACTCATATGATTCGTGCAGTAAATATTCATTATTATGTTTTTGTTTTTGTGTGAAAATCATGTTTTAATGGTTTTGTTCTTTGTTCTTAATGGTTTTGTTCATTTTGTGCACCTATGTATAAATATATACCTATGTTTTGAATTTGAAAAATCATATTTTATTTTTCCAATTAAGAAAGGTTCGGTGAATGCGCATATGAAACTGGTGGGGGTCAGTACCTCCAACAAGGTTAAGAACCACTGATTAGCTCTATACAGAACACATTTCAGGCAGTAACACATTCAAAATTCTCTAAGGATCAGTTACTGCAGTTCAGGTTAGAGGCTCAGGCCTTAGTTTCTAAAGCAGTACTAAACCTCACTTCCAAAAACAGAAGCTTCATTCCTCAAAGATTTTTTTCATATGTCCTATTTCTATCACTTACCTAAACTACACAAAGATCCACTGAACCCACTAGGACGACCCATTGTTGCAGCCTTGGATAGTGTATCCAGCGGCTTTTCCATCTACATAGGTCATTTGTTGCAGCCATTGGTCCAAGGTCTTCCCTCCTACATCTGGGATGGCATACATCTAAGAGAAATGTTAGTGACTTATACTTGGGAGACCACATACTCATGGCTCTCCTTGGATGTAAATTCCCTGTATACCTCAATACCTCATGGGGGGGCCTACAGGCCATACAACATTGTTTAACCACAAGCCTACGGGGCACTTATACCCCCTTCCTGCCCAGGCCAATTTCCAGCTTTCAGCGCTGTCGCACTTTGAATGACAATTGCGCGGTGATGCAATACTGTACCCGTATGAAATTTTTATCTTTTTTTTGTGACAGATAGAGCTTTCCTTTGGTGGTATTTAATCACCTCTCGGTTTTTTATTTTTTCTTAAACAAACAAAAAACCACTGAAAATTTTGAAAAAAAAAAAAAACGTTTTTTCTTAGTTTTTGTTCTAAAATGTTGTAAATAAGTGATTTTTCTCCTTCACTGATGTGCGCTAATGAGGCTGCACTGATGGGCACTGATAGGCTACACTGATGGACTGATAGGTGGCACTGATGGACACTGATGAGGAGGCACTGGTAGGTGGCACTGATGGGCATTGACAGGCATCACTGATGGGCACTGAAAGGCAGCACTAATATATGGCACTGTCAGGCGGCACTGACTGGCACTGATAGGCGGCACTGACTGGCACTGATAGGCAGCACTGATGCACACTGATAGGCGGCACTGATAGGTGGCACTTATTGGCAGCACTGATAGGTGGCACTGATTGGCATTGATAGGTGGCACTGACTGGCACTGATGGGTGACACTGAAAGGCAGCTCAGATGGGCACTGATATGTGGCATTGATGTGCACTGGTAGGCACTGATATGTGGCATTGATGTGGCACTGATGGGCACAGGCACGAAGCACTGATGAGCACTGACACAAGGCACTGATGGACACTAACAGGTGGCACTGCTGGGGATACACTGATCATCAGGGCACACTGATCATCAGTGCTCTGATGATCAGTGTACATGTCCCTTCCGCAGAAAGCTGATTACCGGTTCTCCTCTCCTCTCGAGCTGTCAGCATGACAGCTCGAGAGGAGAGAAACGCCGATAACCGGCATTTCCCTGTTTACATGTGATCAGCTGTGATTGAACACAGCTGATCACATGACCAAGTCGACATCTTCGGCTCTTTCCATGATCGGTGATTCGCTGTGTGCGAGGGACACAGCGCACCACCGATCGCCGTGCTGCGTGCTCCCTGAGCCGCACATGTGCTGTGAGAATGGGAGGACGTCATATAACGTCCTCCCAGAACGAGAGAACTGCCTTACGTCCGTCATGTTACTATTTGGCGGGTGGGAGGTGGTTAATGGAAGATCCCCTTACCAATAATAAACAGACCAATTTCATATTGGAGGCTACCACTTTTGTCTCCAACATAATTATTTCTATCTCCAAATAAATGGCATAGCTATGGGGGCTAACTTTGCCCTGAGCTATGCCAATTTGACCATGGGGTATTGGGAGTCTCTCCATATATGAAAAAACAAGAGTTGGTTCGACCAGCTCAGTGGATTGCTTTATAAAAGTCCTGGATTCTTTCTTGGATACACAGAATATAACTGGATACTAACATTTACAGGTAAAGTTGATCCAGGGAATATCCGATTGCCTCTCGGGGGATCAGGAAGGAATTTTTTCCCCTGCAGGAGCAAATTGGATCATGCTTTGCTGGGTTGTTTTGCCTTCCTCTGGATCAACTGTGGGTGTAGAATTGTAACTTTTTTTTAATGGTTGAACTGGATGGACTTTTGTCTTTTTTCAGTCAGACTAACTATGTAACAATCCCTTTGCACTTAACATAATTTTCTATGGCAGATATATTGATGACAGTCATCATTTGGGATAGTTTGGATCACACTGTGGATCTTTTTGTCCAACATTGCAACAATAACAGTTTAGGACTCTCCTTCACTTACGTTCATGATCATCATGTGTTGGCTTTTCTTGATTTGGAACTACATCATGAGGACACTAAAATTTACACCAATAATTACACAAAACCCACAGCAGGTAATTCCTTCCTTCACTACAGTAGTTGCCATCACCCTAGATGGATCAATAACATCCCTAAAAGTCAATTTTGTAGACTGTGGAACAGGGGTGGACTGACAACTCATGGGGCCCCCGGGCAATAGGGGATCATGGGGCCCCTGTGTCCTTGCCCAAACTCAGATAAGCCTATGAAAAAAGGTACCAGGGGCATCTCATGGGGCCCCCTACTGACCCCGAGCCCTCGGGCAGTGCCCGAGTTTCCAAATGGTCAGTCCGCCCCTACTGTGGAACAACTGTACTCATGAAGAGGATTACCAGCTAGATGGAGCCCACCTTACCAACAAATTTCTGGAAAAGGGCTACCCTACTCCACTTGTCCAGGATGCATTTGTCCAATATCGTTCTAAACAGGATAAATCGAAATTGCTACCCACTAAAACAAAACCCATTAGATTTACTACTCAGTATCATGCACAGCATAGGCAAATGGAAAAAGTTTTAAAAAAACACTGGTCCATTTTCCTGGAAGACCCTGTTATTGTCCTGCTTGAAAAGTTCCCAGCCTCAGGGGCTGCTGCCCCTTTGAGGGAAAAAAAAAATATATATATATATATATATATATATATATATATATATATATATACATACACAGTATCTCACAGACGTGAGTACATCCCTCACATTTTTGTAAATATTTGATTCTATCTTTTCATGTGACAACACTGAAGAAATGACACTTTGATACAATGTGACGTAGTGAGTGTACAGATTGTATAACATGTAAATTTGCTGTCCCCTCAAAATAACTCAACACACAGCCATTAATGTCTAAACCGCTGGCAACAAACGTGAGTACACCCCTAAGTGAAAATGTCCAAATTGGGCCCAATTAGCCATTTTCCCTCCCCGGTGTCATGTGACTCGTTAGTGTTACAAGGTCTCAGGTGTGACTGGGGAGCAGGTGTGTTAAATTTGGTGTTATCATTCTCACTCGCTCATATTGGTCACTGGAAGTTCAACATGGCACCTCATGGCAAAGAACTCTCTGAGGATCTGAAAAAAGAATTGTTGCTCTACATAAAGTTGGCCTAGGCTACAAGAAGATTTCCAAGACCCTGAAACTGAGCTGCAGCATGGTGGCCAAGACCATACAGCGGTTTAACAGGACAGGTTCCACTCAGAACCTGACTCAGTGGAGGTAGGGTAGGCTTCCCTGAATAAGTGAGTTTTCAAAGATCGCCTAAAGGCAGACAGGCGGGGGCTTACCAGACATACTGGGTTAGGGAGTTCCAGAGGATGGGGGAGGTACTGGAGAAGTCCTGGAGGCGAGCGTGGAAGGAGGTGATGAGGGAGCTAGAGAGCAAGATACTTTGGAAGGAGCGGAGCGTGCGATTCAGACAAGATCTGCGGATGAGGTTGGTGATGTAGCTAGGGGTACATACACTTTAAGGTTTTTGCTCTTTAATAATGTGAAATCAGATATCAGATTGGCTATTTCTTAATTTTTGCACCATCACTCTTGGCCTCATTAAATAAATATGACATATCAATGACATGAAAAAGGTACATATGCTGAGACTGGAGAGCAGAAAAAGTGGTAGCATTCGGGGGGAGGCTGGCATGACGCCATGTACTCTTGTAAGGAATGATATGAGGATCTGTGTCCAGGAAGTTTGGCATTTTTCAACAGCGTCCACCGCCTGCCCTGAGGAAACAAAGAGAGACATGACCAAGTCACGCTCACGTGCTGAATTTACAGTACTCATCCATCTCTGTGAGACCGATATAACATGTAACTGCACCCTTCCCACTGTCATGTGTATTGAAGGAAACAGTGCTAGCTCTGCGATCCTGTACTTGTATTGGCTTCTGTAACTTATCCAGATTTGTGTGATCTGTACAGACAAAACAGAACAAGGCAAGTTCCACAGATATATGCTGATTACCGCACTAGAATAATATTATCAAGATAAGCTGACACATTTGTCTAATTAATTACCATTTTAGCATCTTCATTTGATCAAATCCTGAGAAGTTCTGCTTAATTTATTTTTACGTTTTAACATATTGCCTGTTCAGTTAGGGTCCATTTACTTCTTGCAGAATGAATGGGCTGCCAATGCACACTAATGGACCTAAAAATCACATGGCCTCTATTTCCCAACAAAGCTTAACGTACTGCATGCATTGCCATGCATTGTGGTGTGCTTCAGCTCCGAAGCATGGCCTCCAAACTGCACAGTACCAGGGCCAGATTGTAGATTCACAGAGATTTGCAAACTGAAAACAAAACTGTTTTACAAATGAATAAAATGTCAATGAATGAATATGGTTTAGCTGGACCTCCTTTGTGAACAGCAAGATATGACTCAGAGTTAAAGAGAAGTAAAGCAAAGCAAATTCTCCTTTACATCAGTGTCCTCACCAGATTCCCCCCTTACATCAGTGTCCCCATCAGAGTCCCTCCTTACATCAGTGTCCTCACCAGATTCCCCCCTTACATCAGTGTCCCCATCAGAGTACCCCTTACATCAGTGTCCTCACCAGATTCCCCCCTTACATCAGTGTCCCCATGAGAGTACCCCTTACATCACTGTCCTCACCAGATTCTGCCCATACATCAGTGTCCCCATTAGAGTCCCTACTTACATCAGTATCCTCACCAGATTCCCCCCCCCCCTTACATCAGTGTCCTCACCAGACTCATCCCTTACATCAGTGTCCCCATCAGAGTACCCCTTACATCAGTGTCCTCACCAGATTCCCCCCCCCCCCCCCTTACATCAGTGTCCCCATCAGAGTACCCCTTACATCAGTGTCCTCACCAGATTCCACCCATACATCAGTGTCCCCATCAGAGTACCCCTTAGATAAGTGTCCTCACCAGATTCCCCCCTTACATCAGTGTCCCCATCAGAGTCCTCCCTTACATCAGTGTCCCCATCAGAGTCCCTCCTTGCATCAATGTCCCCATCAGAGTCCCTCCTTACATCAGTGTCCTCACCAGATTCCCCCCTTACATCAGTGTCCCCATCAGAGTAGCCCTTACATCAGTGTCCTCAACAGATTCCCCCCCCCTTAAATCAGTGTCCCCATCAGAGTCCCTCCTTACATCAATGTCCTCACCAGATTCCCCTCCTTACATCAGTGTCCTCACCAGATTCCCCCCCCCCCTTACATCAGTGTCCCCATCAGAGTACCCCTTACATCAGTGTCCTCACCAGATTCCACCCATACATCAGTGTCCCCATCAGAGTACCCCTTACATCAGTGTCCTCACCAGATTCCCCCCTTACATCAGTGTCCCCATCAGAGTACCCCTTACAACAGTGTCCTCACCAGATTCCCCCCTTACATCAGAGTCCCCATCAGAGTACCCCTTACATCACTGCCCTCACCAGATTCCGCCCATACATCAGTGTCCCCATTAGAGTCCCTCCTTACATCAGTGTCCTCACCAGATTCCCCCCCTTACATCAGTGTCCTTGCCAGATTCCACCCATACATCAGTGTCCTCATCAGAGTACCCCTTAGATAAGTATCCTCACCAGATTCCCCCCTTACATCAGTGTCCCCATCAGAGTCCCTCATTGCATCAATGTCCCCATCAGAGTCCCTCCTTACATCAGTGTCCTCACCAGATTCCCCCCTTACATCAGTGTCCCCATCAGAGTAGCCCTTACATCAGTGTCCTCACCAGATTCCCCCCTTACATCAGTGTCCCCATCAGAGTCCCTCCTTACATCAGTGTCCTCACCAGATTCCACCCATACATCAGTGTCCTCATCAGAGTACCCCTTACATCAGTGTCCTCACCAGACTCATCCCTTACATCAGTGTCCCCATCAGAGTACCCCTTACATCAGTGTCCTCACCAGACTCATCCCTTACATCAGTGTCCCCATCAGAGTCCCCCTTACATCAGTGTCCCCATCAGAGTACCCCTTACATCAGTGTCCTCACCAGATCCCCCCCTTACATCAGTGTCCCCATCAGAGTACCCCTTACAACAGTGTCCTCACCAGATTCCCCCCTTACATCAGTATCCCCATCAGAGTACCCCTTACATCACTGTCCTCACCAGATTCCGCCCATACATCAGTGTCCCCATTAGAGTCCCTCCTTACATCAGTGTCCTCACCAGATTCCCCCCCTTACATCAGTGTCCTTGCCAGATTCCACCCATACATCAGTGTCCCCATCAGAGTACCCCTTAGATAAGTATCCTCACCAGATTCCCCCCTTACATCAGTGTCCCCATCAGAGTCCCTCCTTGCATCAATGTCCCCATCAGAGTCCCTCCTTACATCAGTGTCCTCACCAGATTCCCCCCTTACATCAGTGTCCCCATCAGAGTAGCCCTTACATCAGTGTCCTCACCAGATTCCCCCCTTACATCAGTGTCCCCATCAGAGTCCCTCCTTACAACAGTGTCCTCACCAGATTCCCCCCTTACATCAGTGTCCCCATCAGAGTCCCTCCTTACATCAGTGTGTCCTCACCAGATTCCACCCTTACATCAGTGTCCTCATCAGAGTACCCCTTACATCAGTGTCCTCACCAGACTCATCCCTTACATCAGTGTCCCCATCAGAGTACCCCTTACATCAGTGTCCTCACCAGACTCATCCCTTACATCAGTGTCCCCATCAGAGTCCCCCTTACATCAGTGTCCCCATCAGAGTACCCCTTACATCAGTGTCCTCACCAGATCCCCCCCTTACATCAGTGTCCCCATCAGAGTACCCCTTACAACAGTGTCCTCACCAGATTCCCCCCTTACATCAGTGTCCCCATCAGAGTACCCCTTACATCACTGTCCTCACCAGATTCCCCCCTTACATCAGTGTCCCCATCAGAGTCCCCCTTACATCAGTGTCCCCATCAGAGTATCCCTTACATCAGTGTCCTCACCAGATTCCCCCCTTACATCAGTGTCCCCATCAGAGTCCCTCTTCTTACATTAATGCCCCCATCAGTCCCTCTTTACATCAATGTCCCCAGAGTCCCTCCTTACATCAGTGTCCCCACCAGAGTACTTCTTACATTAGGGTCCCCATCAAAGTCCCTCTTTATATCAGTATCCCCATCAAAGTCTCTCCTTACATCAATGTCCCATCAGAGTCCCTCCTTAAATCAGAATCCCCATCAAAGTCCCTCCTTACATCAATGTCCCCGCCAGAGTACCTCTTACATTAGGGTCCCCATCAGAGTCCCTCTTTAAATCAGTATCCCCATCAAAGTCTCTCCTTACATCAATGTCCCATCAGAGTCCCTCCTTAAATCAGAATCCCCATCAAAGTCCCTCCTTACATCAGAATCCCCAT